CTAACTGAAAGAGCAGGGCACTTTCAGACACAATAGTTAGGTTGTCACCTATCGTGTCAAAATCAAAATTATGGCTCAAGGTATAGTAGGTATGAAAAATGGATGCACTCACTAACTGTAAGTCGCTCTGGATAAGAGCGTCTGCTAAATGAATAAAAATGTTTTTTAAAAATGTATAGTTACACTAGTATGGGCAATGGCGGTTGAGCAGCCTCATTTACTAGCAGAAAACCATTAGCAATACCAGCGGACCCTGAATATTACCTGGGTAAAACAAAATTGTACACCTAATTTAAAAGAGAAGGGTACCAAAAGACATAGCTTATCACCTACTACAAGGGTCAAAATTACAATTATTAAAATTAAATAAAAGTCTACTGTAGTCTCAGTGAGGGAGTATGGCAGCTCCCCTTGCACTCACTAGCAGAAAAATAAAAAAAATAGTTAGGATGATCAGACCTTACTCTATTGCTAGCAGGAACTCAATAATCGTAGGCTACCAGTCAGATACTGGACAGCCTAATTAGCTATATTGGTTTCCAAAAACAGTATCTCAACTCAGAGGCACTATATTTAGTGGAGGAGGTAGGCTAATTCAATAATCACCATTAATTAAAACACTACCTTAAAGTATGCCTTGACCATAGGGGTCAACACCACATCCACCAAGTTACAATATCAGAATAATATGATTTGTCCAAGTCCATAGGTTACACAATTCAATAGAATCCAACAATAGAATTGTCGAAGAAATAGGGACTAGAGTATGAATCATGCACGACTGCCGACTGGGCTCCTAATCTGGGAGGAGGGATATATTCAACTGGGCTAAACTAAGGATATACAGTGGGGAGAACAAGTATTTGATACACTGCTGATTTTGTAGGTTTTGCTACTTACAAAGCATGTAGAGGTCTGTAATTTTTATCATAGGTACACTTCAACTGTGAGAGACGGAATCTAAAAATCCAGAAAATCACATTGTATGATTTTTAAGTAATTCATTTGCATTTTATTGCATGACATAAGTATTTGATACATCAGAAAAGCAGAACTTAATATTTGGTACAGAAACCTTTGTTTGCAATTACAGAGATCATACGTTTCCTGTAGGTCTTGACCAGGTTTGCACACACTGCAGCAGGGATTTTGGCCCACTCCTCCATACAGACCTTCTCCAGATCCTTCAGGTTTCGGGGCTGTCGCTGGGCAATACAGACTTTCAGCTCCCTCCAAAGATGTTCTATTGGGTTCATGTCTGGAGACTGGCTAGGCCACTCCAGGACCTTGAGATGCTTCTTACGGAGCCACTCCTTAGTTGCCCTGGCTGTGTGTTTCGGGTCGTTGTCATGCTGGAAGACCCAGCCACGACCCATCTTCAATGCTCTTACTGAGGAAAGGAGGTTGTTGGCCAAGATCTCGCAATACATGGCCCCATCCATCCTCCCCTCAATACGGTGCAGTCGTCCTGTCCCCTTTGCAGAAAAGCATCCCCAAAGAATGATGTTTCCACCTCCATGCTTCACGGTTGGGATGGTGTTCTTGGGGTTGTACTCATCCTTCTTCTTCCTCCAAACACGGCGAGTGGAGTTTAGACCAAAAGCTCTATTTTTGTCTCATCAGACCACATGACCTTCTCCCATTCCTCCTCTGGATCATCCAGATGGTCATTGGCAAACTTCAGACGGGCCTGGACATGCGCTGGCTTGAGCAGGGGGACCTTGCGTGCGCTGCAGGATTTTAATCCATGACGGCGTAGTGTGTTACTAATGGTTTTCTTTGAGACTGTGGTCCCAGCTCTCTTCAGGTCATTGACCAGGTCCTGCCGTGTAGTTCTGGGCTGATCCCTCACCTTCCTCATGATCATTGATGCCCCACGAGGTGAGATCTTGCATGGAGCCCCAGACCGAGGGTGATTGACCGTCATCTTGAACTTCTTCCATTTTCTAATAATTGCGCCAACAGTTGTTGCCTTCTCACCAAGCTGCTTGCTTATTGTCCTGTAGCCCATCCCAGCCTTGTGCAGGTCTACAATTTTATCCCTGATGTCCTTACACAGCTCTCTGGTCTTGGCCATTGTGGAGAGGTTGGAGTCTGTTTGATTGAGTGTGTGGACAGGTGTCTTTTATACAGGTAACGAGTTCAAACAGGTGCAGTTAATACAGGTAATGAGTGGAGAACAGGAGGGCTTCTTAAAGAAAAACTAACAGGCCTGTGAGAGCCGGAATTCTTACTGGTTGGTAGGTGATCAAATACTTATGTCATGCAATAAAATGCAAATTAATTACTTAAAAATCATACAATGTGATTTTCTGGATTTTTGTTTTAGATTCCTTCTCTCACAGTTGAAGTGTACCTATGATGATAATTACAGACCTCTACATGCTTTGTAAGTAGGAAAACCTGCAAAATCGGCAGTGTATCAAATACTTGTTCTCCCCACTGTAGGCAAGCGATTATTCGAATAATCCTAAAACGAAACAAAGGAGACATACAGCGTGGATCTAATCATAAGGAACAATTTCATAGGCTTAATTCACAATAAGGATTTACAGATTATGCGCCTATTTTAGGGTAACATAATAGCTTCTTATTGACTCAAACTCACAAGGGCTCTCACAATAAGGATTGTTGTGTTCGGACGTCGACCAGCCATATGGTTACAAAACAGTCAGTCCAAGGACGCACCACTGAAAGGCTTTTTTTTGGACTGCGTGCATGGAGACTTCTCTGAAGACCATTGGTTCCAGACAGATATATGTAAGAGTATCCAGCTCGATCTCACCTGTCTTTTCCCTGATTTGAATGTAAGTGTGTAACCTGTATCTGTTACTTTTATCATTACTATCTATATTTCTCCTATAATCCCTGCCTGCCTTGTTTCATTCTGAAATATCAAGAATAACTGTTTGTTTGACCTTAGGCCCTCTAATCCCCATTCCCTGTTTGTGACTGATTCTGTACCTTATCACATTAGTACATCATTTTGCCATCACATCATCCTGTACATTCATTGCTTTACCCTGGTTATTTCTGAATAAATCTGATTTGTTTTGTAAAATATATACCGTCTTGCATTGCCTTGTCATTTTTAAGAACGTAATTGCCTTCAGAATTATAAGGTAACCTTTGTTATAATTGTAACTATTTAACAGTTTCTTACTGACTTAGAGCAAGTGGTGCCCCATTAATCATTTCATAGTAATAAGCATACACACTCCATTTCACTACCCACCCACCTTATATGAAACACACACTCTTATAACACACTCCCTGGCATCTCTCCACTAGAGCGGGAGATGAGCTATGCCCCTAGTCAGGCTGATATACAGTAGCTCTCTGATGTAGAGTCATAGCGCAGTAGAGGTGAGTCCATCACACGAGCCATCAGCCCTGGTTTGTGTTTGTGGCCCTCAGCCGAGAGAAATAGACCCCAGCCAGATAACAGGTCACTGCCTCCATCGCATCTGATTCACTGCCGGCAGAGGCTAACAATCTGAGTGCATCTCTCCTCTCATTTCTCTCCTCTCCCAACTCTGTCTCTCCCCCTCTTTCATCCCCCACATAGCACTCACTGCCCCAATCTCCCTTGTTTTTTGTATCTCTCCTCTCTTGTTTTTCAGCCTCTCCCATTTTCTCTCTCACAAACAGCTCCCTCTGTCCTCTCTCTCCCTCCCTCCTCGTCTTTGGTTCCCCCATCTTTCTGTCCCAATCACTCACTGTCTTTCATGTTCTCTTTCCTTTTCTCTCTGCCTTCTCCCAATGTCTTTCTCTCCCCATCTCTCCATCTCCGCTAGTGCTGAGCGATTTAGCCTAGCTAAATACGATGATTAAAGACTGTACAGTGTGGGGAGAACAGAGATAACGTTAGATGGTTGGTTGGCTGGCTGGCTGCTACTACCTGAGCAGAGATGGGATGATGAATTTAAGGAATTAAAAGTTATAAAGTCATTAAATAAAACTAAGTAATATACACGACTGAAATATTTTATTATTTAATAGTAATTTCCTATTTTTCAATGTGGACCTGACAGAGACTATGGCATATTTTCAATGTTTTGGCAATTGAATGTTCAATATTTTTGGCTTTGGAATTTCCATTAAAAAGCTATTATAATTTTTGTCATTATTTCATAATGAATGTAATGTTTTTCCAAAATAATCAAAATCGAAAACAGTGGTTATTTTTTAATAATCGAACCGAACAGACCTCAAAAAGCACTAATCGCTCAGCACTGATCTCTGCCCCTTTCCTCTCTCTCCATCTCTCTCTCTCTCTCTCTCTCTCCATCTCTCTCTCTCTCTCGCCATCTCTCTGAGATGATGTAATTAATGGACCTCTCTCACTTTCTGCTGGGCCTCGCTCCACTATTGTGTTGAGGTTGAATATTTAGGCAGGACTCCCCCGGGGCCATTTTCCAAATTAGCCCTGCTCACAATAACGAGTCCGCCACAGCCAAACCGTCAGATAGGGGGCTTATTTTAGAGCTGCACTACCCAGCCAGTCAGTCCCTCAGTCACAACACTGGACCTGTAATGTGTCTATCCACGTCAGTAGGGTCTGTCTGTGGCAGTAGATATAGGGTTGATGCTAGAGAATAATTAGCGAGGCAGTGCAGGCCTGTTCTCTGTGGCTTTTGGTTTTCTGTGTTCTATTCACTACTGTAGGTATTGTGCATGGCCCTGGCTTTTGTCTGGGACGACACTAGCCTTGGATTATGCAATTTATTGCAGATGGGGCAGTAAATTATAGGCTGATTCAAAGTTCTAATGCGCGCACACACCCCAATTAATCACCCTGGCGTGAATGGATATCATACCTCATTTGTAAATATGTGCATGTCTCCTCATGACTGACTTGCATTCACTTACTTTCAGAAAGCAAATCCTGATGAGAGAGAGTGGAGTAGAAGAGAAATTAGGCAACATTTAAAATGTGATGTGCGGTGTAAATCCAACTCATTGCTCACAGTTATCTTCTTTCCTCTCCCTCTCTCAGCTCGTCAGTCCCAGCCCCGGTCGGTCAGGTTGTTCAGCAGGTTTTGGCGACGGTAGCCAACACCAACCAGGCCAAACGAGTGAGTACGAGTCCATCTGACATCCTCCCAACTGTCACATCCTATGAACTGCATCCCTCTCCATCCCTTCAAGCCAACTGTCTAGATATTACTAGCCATAGGCCTCATTTCTCCCCTACTCTAAGAAAGCAAAGCAAAGGTACAAAGTCACCAACTTGCAGTTGGAGCCAAATGAAGCTCGGAGGCATATGGAAGTTCAATAGAAAGTAGTTATTTATTCATAAATACCAACGCGTTTCATCTGTGTGCTTTCCGCTATCAGAGGCTGAATATCTCTTGTACACCCCATCTCTAAGAACTCAGCAACTCTGTGTAGTTCCTGGAGTTCCAGTGTACTTGGCTGACCGCTGGCCTGCGTTGTTATAGGATAGAGTAGAAGGTCATTATGACAGGGCTGTGAAATGCCCCAGGTCCCTCCCATGTGTCGGCGGAGGAGTGATACAAGTGGTGACTGGGTAGGAACTGATTCATACAGGGGAACTCTCTCACACATCATACCTCAGTCCGAACCAGGTTCAAGTTTATGGGATGACCAAAGCATGCATGACTCATAGCCTACACAAAGAAACACTCACAGAAAACACTGCATATACGAACACTAAAACACTGTTTTGCAATAAACAGAATCCAAAGTCTGAGTAGTGAGATGAACTAAATCACATAGCTTTGACTTAAGACAAACATGAACATTGATTGTTGGGTTCTCTAAAACAACATTGATGGTGTTTTTCATGTTTTAATGTGTTTTTCGCCTTAACTTCACTCTCTTACTTTGTGAGTAGTTATTCTTGAAAACATGGCAATGAGAGATGTACAAACTGTCCTTCTGTTGTTTTACTCCTCAGAATTCTACTCAAGGCATACTGAAGGTGTCTGCTGAAAGTATCCGTTCGGCTTCCCCCCAGGGTTTTGTGTTTGGTAAGTATATAAAGCTAAGATGTTTTAGATGCTCATCATATCAAAATGCGTTGGAAAATGCCTTCCACCTAGTGTTGATGTATTTTTCCCAGGTAACTTTTTTCAAGGGTTTTTATATACTAGAAATTTACACAATTTCAGGGTGAACCATTCATACATTACATCCATTTGATTATTCATTATATTACATATTTTATCAGCTCTTAGTATAATTTGTATTAGAACCCTTTTGTCATGCTTATTTTAATGCCATCTCCTTCTGTCCCTCTCTCCCAGGCGGACCCCCTAAAGCTGACGCCCTGGCCCCCTCCAGCTCAGCCCCGTCACTAGGGGAGCAGAGCAGCAAAGCCTTCTCCTCCTTTACCACAGCGTGAGTCTCTGGGGGTCAGGGGTCAGAGAGGGAAACTTCATGTCACTCCTTCTTGATTAGAAAACAGGAAAGTTGAATGATAGAAATAGACCTATGGCTGACTGTGTTTTCTCATACTTTATGATGCTTTCGGACAGGTCTGCCGGGGGCTTCAGTTTCTCCTCTATGTCCCAAGGAGCTCCACCAGGTACCTCTCTCTCAAATGTACAGCCAAATATGACACTCATTGGTTTTATTAGACAGTAAAGTCAGTGCTATAGTTCGTTGAATGCCATATCAATGAATTACCGTAAAACTTCAATTAATAGCCCGGCCGTTTATTTGCTTAAATCACTGAAGACAACAGGTGCATTAGAGACAGGCTTCTATTTGAGCCAGACGTCTATTTCCTTAATGCACACAGCTTTTGCTCATTTGCATAGTTAATTGTTTAATTCCATCATTCACTTACATCATTTCATTTCATGTAACAAATCAAACAGTAAACCTCATAAACAATTCATTTAGAACCAGCGTTTATTTGAAACAGGCAAGTATTTACTGAAATGTGTGCAGTTGCCGGCTATTAAAAGGGACAGACAGCTATTTGAGACTCAGCGTTTAATTGAAGTTTTACGGTAGTCATTTATTAAATCCATTAGTTGAAAGCGTTTCAATATCTGGCATAGTTTGTAAATCTGCTGTCCATTTTTCTTCCTCCCCAGTGAAGGACGCAAGTAAATTCTCCTTCAGCAGCGCTGGCGGCGGCACCACCGGCAAGATGATGTTCAGCTCCTCTGCCGGGGAGGAACCCTTCTCCTTCATCCCAAAATCCTCTTCCCCTGCCCTGGGGGGCACTAGCCCCCCACCCCCCAGCATGTCAGGGGAGCCTGTGAGGCCCACCCCCACCTTCAGAGTGGAGCCCCAGGCCCCCAAGGTGGTAGGAGGAGAGACCCTGGGGAGTTTCTCTGGTCTACGCGTGGGCCAGGGGGATGAAGAGAAGCCCTCAGCGGCCGCGTTTAGCTTTGGCCAGCCGGACAGTGGAGTGGGGCTAGGTTTAGGCACAGGGGCGGCCCAGTTTAGTTTTGGGTCGGCCCCCCAGCAAGGGAAGCCAGCTGAGGCTGCGTTTGGTGAGGCGGATTCTACCGTGACAGACTTATCCAAGACTGCATTCAAGCCTTCCGAACCGGCAGCCCTGTCGATCACCAAGCCTGCGTTCTCCACGTCAGCAGCCACCTCCTTCAGCAGCCTCCTAGCTGCACCCCTCTCTTCCCCGTCCCCCACCTTGGAGGAAATGCCCCCCAAAGACCCCACCCCCCCGTCAGACCACACTCCACCCCCAGAGCCTGCTCCCTCACAGCCCAGCCCCTCCGTCAGCCCCCCTGTTGCTGAGCCTGAGGTTACTACCTCCCCAGTGCCCTCAGTCATCCCCACCCCTACCATCCCTGAAAAAGCCCCAACTCCCCCTGCCCCCTCCCCAGCTCCCCCTTCCGCCTCCACCACCCCACCAGCCCAGGCAGCCCCCAGCACTACCCTAGACCCTGTCCCGGCCCCCGAGGCCCCACCACCTGCTATCACCACCACCCCGGAGGCCCCACCACCAGCCTACCCGGCCCCTAGCTCTGACAAACCTGGTTCCATCTTCACCCAGCCACCGGCCATCACCACAGATAGCACCACTGTAGACGTCACCAGCCTCACCCCGGTCATCAACACCGCAGCCCCCGCTGCCACCACCACCACCCCTACCGACTCCAACACCACAGCCCCGGCCACAGGCTCTGTATTCGGACAGCCTGCTCCAGCGTCTGCCGGCGGCTTTGGTTCCACTGGCTTTGGTGCTCCCCCAGCTGCAGGTGCAGGGGCTGGCTTTGGGAAACCCGTATTCGGACAGACAGTAGGCGGGTTCGGCCAGCCTGTTGCTAACGCATCCGGTGGCTTCGGTTTTGGCCAGTCTGCGTTCGGGGCCAGCCCTGGATTTGGACAGCCCGCAGCGGCCACGGCTGCTGCAGCTGCCAGTACCACTGCTAGTGGAGGTGGTCTGTTTGGAGCCCCCAGTGCCAGCAATGCCAGCAGTTTTTCCTTTGGCACCCCCAGCGCCAGTACGGCCAGCAGTACGGGCACGGGCCTGTTTGGGCAGCCGAGCGCCACCCCGGCCTTCGGGCAGCAGAGTGCTGGGTTTGGACAAGGCTCTGTGTTTGGAAGCAACACCACCACCACATCCTCTACTGGCTTCAGCTTTGGACAGCCTGCAGGTGAGTGTGTATGTGATATGTCACGTGTTTCTGAAAATGCACTAATTCGAAGTAGCGTTTAGGCCTCTGCATTCCATATCAGAAAACTGGGAACTGGTTCAACCCTATAATTCATCATCAATGTAATGTTATGTATTTTATATGTGGCAGACAGTTCAGGACAGTGTCTTATTGGAAGAGTATCCCTTGGACATCACCATGACACTGTATGAAGTTGTTTTAAGCCTCTAGCATTTACACAGACAGCCTCTCAAGCTGTCCAATCTGTCTTTTTTATTGACTGGATGTACAATCTCTTTAGGAATCAGATGATACCTTAAATGATTGGATTACCAGATTCTAGTTGATTTTGAGAAATGCTCTCCAAACTCCATATTTAGGACTACTAGGCTGATATTATTTTAGCCATGGTATGTTGACCTATACAATTACAGCATACATTGCCTTCGGAAAGTATTCAGACCCCTTTACTTTTTCCAAATTTTGTTACGTTACAGCCTTATTCTAAAATTGATGAAATATGGATTTTTCCTCATCAATCTACAGAAAATACCCCATAATGACAAAAGCAAAAAAAGGTTTTTCAATTTTCTTTGCTAATTTATTAAAATAAACTGAAATATCACGTTTACATAAGTATTCAAACCCTTTACTCAGTACTTTGTTGAAGCACCTTTGGCAGTGATTACAGCATCGAGTCTTCTTGGGTATGACGCTATAAGCTTGGCACACCTGTATTTGGGCAGTTTCTCCCATTCTTCTCTGCAGATCCTCTCAAGCTCTCTCAGGTTGGATGGGGAGCGTCATTGCACAGCTATTTTCAGGTCTCTCCAGAGATGTTCGATCGGGTTCAAGTCCGGGCTCTGGCTTGGGCCACTCAAGGACATTCAGAGACTTGTCCCGAAGCCACTCCTGCGATGTCTTGGCTGTGTGCTTAGGGTCATTGTCCTGTTGAAAGGTGAACCTTCGCCCCAGTCTGAGTTCCTGAGCGCTCTGGAGCAGGTTTTTATCAAGGATCTCTCTGTACTTTGCTCCGTTCATCTTTGCCTCGAACCTGACTAGTCTCCCAGTCCCTGCCGCTGAAAAACATCCCCACAGCATGATGCTGCCACCCATGCTTCACCGTAGGGATGGTGCCAGGTTTCCGCCAGACGTGACGCTTGTCATTCAGGCCAAATAGTTCAATCTTGGTTTCATCAGACCAGACAATCTTGTTTCTCATGGGCTGAGAGTCTTTAGGTGCCTTTTCGCAAACTCCAAGTGGGCTGTCATATGCCTTTTACTGAGGAGTGGCTTCCGTCTAGCCACTCTACCATAAAGGCCTGATTGGTGGAGTGCTGCAGAGATGGTTGTCCTTCTGAAGGTTCTCCCATCTCCACAGAGGAACTCTAGAGCTCTGTCAGAGTGACCATCAGGTTCTTGGTCACCTCCCTGACCAAGGCCCTTCTCCCCCGATTGCTCAGTTTGGCCGGGCGGCCAGCTCTAAGAAGAGTCTTGGTGGTTCCAAACATCTTTCATTTAGGAATGATGGAGGCCGCTGTGTTCTTGGGGACCTTCAATGCTGCAGAAATGTTTTGGTACCCTTCCCCAGATCTGTCCCTCGACACAATCCTGTCTCGTAGCTCTACGGACAATTTCTTTGACCTCATGGCTTGGTTTTTGCTCTGACATGCACTGTCAACTGTGTGGGACCTTATATAGACAGGTGTGTGCCTTTCCAAATCATGTCCAATCAATAGAATTTACCACAGGTGGACTCCAAGTTGTAAAAACATCTCAAGGATGATCAATGGAGACAGGATGCACCTGAGCTCAATTTCGAGTGTCATAGCAAAGGGGCTGAATACTTATGTAAATAAGGTATTTCAGTTTTTTATTTTTAATAAATTTTCAAGCATTTCAAAAAAACTTTTCGCTTTGTCATTATGGGGTATTTTGTGTAGATTGCTGAGAATTTGTATTTATTTAATCCATTTTAGAATAAGGCTATAACGTAACAAAATGGGGGAAAAGTCAAGGGGTCTGAATACTTTCCGATGGCGCTGTATGTAGGGAATGAAGCAATGGGGCGTCCTTGACAAAGGCAGTTACCCCAGTTACTCATCCAGTCAGAGCTGCTGCCAAAGTGCTTAAATTAATGTAGTTGTTTTCCTTCTGTGGGACTGAGCAGCATCATTAGGAAAGGTATTTATCACGCCATTAGGATAATGGAGCTTAGAGAGAAGCCCTCTACTCTCTGATACAGCCTCATCCAGTCCAATCCCATCCATCCATCAGGGCATGTTAGGATCTGCTGGTATTGGCTGGCAGACCATACTGCTCCATATGTCCATGGGTCATAGGCCTCTGTTAAACCACTATGCTGGAGGAAGTTGGCATTAACCACTGGTCTAGGGTCAGTTTTGTTTCACCTAGTACCGATGTGGTTAGGTTTGAGGATGGTGGTTAGCTGATCCCTGATCTTTACATATAGGGGCAAGTTATACCTTGACCCTGTAAACGCCAGTATATGGTGTACGCTCTACTTATTGCCGGGACGATACCAGTATCGCGATAGTCGTTAGTATTGTGACAAGGAAAACAAAACACGATGCGAATTTAACTTCTTTAGGAAAATAGCCCTAATGTTGGAAACAAACATTGTTGTTATCCAGAGTCACATGTATTTATTTTCCAAGATATAGCCATATTTTACATACAGCAGGTTTTTAAATGACCGAAAAGTTAGGGCTGCTTCATGTTTTAATTTTTGCCAATGGAAAAATATTGCGTTACTGGTATTGTCACAGCCCTACTATACATGTAAAAAAAATTGCGGAACTGCAAATTACAGAAGATTCTACGTTTATTTGATTATGCAAATTACAGTACCAACCAAGACAAGTGCCATGATGATAATGAAATTAACCAAGCCCTTGCAATATGTTTTGAAGAGATAAGCTACTGAACCTTATTCAATTGGAACTGTCAGCATTTTAGCGACATGAAATCTTATTGAAATCTGTTCAAATACACCACCAGGAAGAATATAACACATTTTCTGACAAGCGAGCACTTAGATATGGTCATTTTCACATTTTCATAAATTCTTAGAATGTTTGGGAATGATGTATACTAATTCATTTGTGAAAATTCTATAGCAATATAGAGTGGGAAAGCAGCCGTGCGTTTGGACAATGAATTGACACTGCAGTAAATAAAAACATCTCCAGGACTGTAATCTACACAGACCGGTGAGCCATAGCCAATCGAAGCTTCAGTAGGCCTTTATATAAATAAGCCATTTCCCACATGGGCCTGCCATCATTCACTTTGAACTGGACTGTGTGTTTACAGGCAGTAGCAACAGCGCGACTTTAGATCATTAGAACGCATTCGCCAAAAGCCACAAAATACACCTGAAAGGATTTCTGCAAAAATGTAAATACCACAGGGAACTTTACAGTCCGATTGATCAAACAACCATGAAAAGGTAGGCTCTCTCCCTCAGTTATGCACATCAACAATAAGATCAACAACTAATGCTAGCCAGTGTGAGATGAGCTAAAATCTAACAAAGGAACATTAGATAAACCCTCTCAAACTTTTTCAGCTAGTTGGCCATCAACATTTCACTGATAAACGATGGGTAGCCTGTTCGTCCTTCTGCAGCTTGCCTGCCAATGCATACTTGTCCCAACCAAGCACCCAAGCTAACTGGCTAAAGCTAGCTACTTCCAGAAATAAAGATAACACCTCACTCTGACCAGTAGAACTGGTTAGGCTGTTTACATGTTATCTAGAGCGTTCATGACTAACTATTACTTTTTTTGGCAATGTTTACTGACACCGGTCATATTCAGCGGGTGTTGCACGTTCGTAAATTAATCAGTTATTCTGCACACTCAGACGAGAGTGCTCTGAAATCGGAGTAGATGGAGTGAATTTGAGAACGCAAGAGATATGCTAACTGGATAACAGTTGTTCAGCATAGCTAGCTAGCTAAGCAAAGCGATTCACATTTCTTGCTAGCTAACCAAATGACACCTGCACCTCTAGCTGTGTAGCCACCGAAAAACGATATGAGGGGGAAAAGTTGTTCACTCACCCACTCCTCCAATGAAATTACATCCTCCTAGCAGCAGCTAGCTAGCTATCTAGCTAACGTTAGGCTCCGTGTTTTTAGCTTGCTACATAAATAGATACGCTAGCCTATTTGCCACGTTATGACTGACTTGTGATCATTGCCCTTGCTAGTTTGATTGTATTGACATTCCCCAGCCTTAGTTACATTCGTCCGTTTTTGTCCAAAATATTGAGTCATTGAAACTGAAACAGTGTGTCAGGGTTGAGTGTAGAGGTGGTGTAGAATCAGGCGCAGGACACAGAGGTTACGAACAGCGTCTTTAGTAAAGTCCAAAATGAGCCAAACACGGCAACAGGCTACAGGTGAACTTTACGCACAACAGTAAAGTATGCTACGGCGCACAAAGTGCGGAACTCTCTCTCAAAACACAAAATACAGAGAGAACAGAAAATGTCGAACTAGCACACAACGTGACACGGAAACAATTACACACAACACCTGACCAAACTCAAGAGAACTAAATAGGACACCTAATAAACACTAATAAGGAACAGGTGTAGCAACACAGACAAAACCAATCAAACATAGAAACATAGAACGGTGGCAGCTAGTACTCCGGAGACGACGACCGCCGAAGCCTGCCCGAACAAGGAGAAGGAGAAGGAGCAGCCTCGGCCGAAACCTGGACACAGTGCATCCCGAATGGAGGCAGCAAACAATGTACCAGGCCAGCTGTGATTTACAACCTGATAGCAAAAAGACATTGACTACCAAAAAATGTATTGGTGAATTATATTAATCATGCATTGAACTGCATCCATCTATTCTGGCAACAATGCCTTACTGTACGTCATGGAATGTTGAATAAAATATAACCTATTTTTAAAACCTCTTATAACGTTGGTTTTGTAGCATAAACTGGGAATGTTGATGTTTTTTACAGATATGATTGTCTGTTTCATAACTGCAAAGTAGTTAAATCGCTATCAGTTCAACTTTAATTAAGAAGCCATTATTATGGCACCACGTAAAAAAAAATAATTGGGGTGGTGTAGGAGTGTTGAGCAGGGAGTTGCCCTATTCCCAGGGATTCTCTGAATTCCCACCCGTGCCAAGAGGGGCTGGATGGGCTGCGGGATGACAGTTGACCTGTCTGTGTGTGTCACAACAACTCAGCAGTTACAGAAGCAATGTCTCGGTTCTGACTGTCTTAGGGCTCTGTGTTCCCACCCAGATAGGCTTTCTGTTATACCATAGTGACAGTGTGTCTGTCTGGCCATATGCATGCACTAATAGTGGAAATAGGCTTACAATTCAAAGCCACGTTGTGATTTACTTTTTCATTTTAATTACACAAAGAATTTAACATTTAATGCCCCACCGGCTAACTACACCTAACATACAAGATGGAATTGTGGAAGCAGGGTTAGTCACGCTGTCAGAAAGTGATGAGGTGAACAGGAAACGGATGAGGTTGTGATGGGGTTTAATTGAGCTCACTGGTGCGCATGGTGTGTACCACTGTCAGTGCCTTTGTCAGTCTTTACTGTATTATATAGGCAATAGATGAGGTGAGGAGAGCAGCCCTGGGTCATACGGTCATTTATCTGCAGAGCCCCACAGCAGGTTAAACATGAATTAGGGCTACTTACCCTGCATCAGAGCAGGCCTGGTCGATGTCGCTCTTAACAGAGCTTGATTAAGACGTTATAGCCAAAGACCAGACTTCATTAAATCTGTCTTGAAACAGAGGAGGAACTGCCTGAAATTGTCTAATAAGAAAGCTCAATTTTACATCATAGACATGGCAGAAATCAGAGAGACTTTGACTTTGCTCTGTATGCCTAGGGGTGATTTAGCAGTTTTGTAGAGAAGACAGTTAGTGGTATCTAAGGGAGTGTTAATAGCCAGGGTCATGGTGTGTTTGTTTCTAAATGTCTTTGTGCGGGTCTGAAGGTGACAGCAGCCAGTATTTTGCTACAATAGCCAACTAGCTAGCCACCAGGACAGCAACAGGTGTTACACTATAAATGGCCCCCAAATTCCTATTGAGTCTGGATATGTGTTCTTCATTCCCATGTATTATTTCTGTCCCCTTCACGGCTGGCTAGTTATTTCAGGCAGTATATTGTCAGCATAGTTAAGTGAACTAGCCAAAGGGCTGCTGTTACGTTTTATTTCGTTGCACGTCCATCGTCCGCAAACTGCACATGAACATTTGTTAATAAAAATGAATGTTGACTGTTCCTTAGGGCTGTCCCCAACATTTACATTTTTTTTTTTAAATTTTGGTCGACCAAGCCTTGTCAGTTCTTTCGACCAATCGACTGGTCGAAATAAAAATAAAATGTATGTTTCCATATATAGACACACTTTATGTGATTTAATAAAATCAACTATATGTAGGCTACTAAGCTTGTCTGATGTTTTAAGCACAATGTGATTTAAATAATTAAGACACACAAATGACTTGAGGGAGCAAATCTAAAAGTACTATGTAAAAATAGCCTACCTAACACCAACAAATAAAAACATTGCAGCCTGCAGGTAGAACATATCCTGATTAAAAATAAATCACATTGGCTATGCATGGCCTGTCTGCAAGGAACTTGAATCATTGTATCAACTTGGTCCAGCCTGAAGCTTGCACAAACAAACTTGCAACATTGTAAAAAATATTCTGGACCCTCAGTTTCCCGGGCCAGTGACCTCCGGACAGACATAGCTGTAGGCTATTTGCTCAAGGGATAAGAAGTAATCAGGTAGGCCTATTTTATGACGTTTCCACCGGATCGGAGCATGACATTTTTTCCCCCTTTCATGCTGAGTGGTTATCGAAAGAGAGCTGGAAAGATTTTTCAAATAGGCTACATTGAGGAACTATTGTCATTCTCAATGGATGTAAAAATAGACTTTGTTTACTTGCTGTTTGCGGTGAAGAAAACATTTCTTACAGCTCATTAGTGGTGGTGAGATATAAGACAATCAGAAATTCTATCAGATCCCCAAATGGGCACATTTATAAGCCTACATTTGCACGCAAGCCAGGTAGCCTAGGCCTACATCTATGTGTAATCAGGTGCGTGTCCTTACTCAACATTGACAGTAGCCCTCCAAACAAAACACAATGAATAAATTGACAACTCATAAATAAAATGAAATAAACCAAAACTTGTTTCTCACAAGTGTAACCTAGGTTGTGCGCTCTGCAAACAACGTGTCCACTCCAACAATGAGAACTGTAAAAGACTGTAATAATAATATATTGAATGCATTAACAGAAATTACGGTAACCAAACAAACATTGTAGATGAGAAATGATGGGAACTGTACTGCTGGTGATACTGGTGCGCCATCCCCTCGGCCTCCACAATGGATTAGTCCACTGAGACAGGCGTCAATCAAGACATGTGAAATACATTTTTATTTTATTTATTTTTTGCAACTGCTCTACTAAAATATTAAAGGGGGAATGAGCTTAGACCCAGGCAAAATGGAAGTGGAATAAAAGGGAAATGTGGAGTTGGCTGATGGGAGATATCCTTGGATCCGCAGGGTAGTATGGCTGGCATTCTCACACACGCAGGCACACCCACACACACAGCACACACTCTGCCACACACACAGCATGTACATCCATCTAGAGTTTGTGGCATCGTGTCAGAGATAAAAGTGGAGAGTGTGGGGATTTGTCTTTTTCTGCTCCGCTGTCTTCCCCCCCCAGTCATCTAAAACCTGCAAGGAAAATAGTTCTGTCGCCATAGTCTAATGCTGCTGGAACGAGACCATCCATAAAATGACTGCACTAGCAGCGTGTACACACACATCCACAGTTCTGACTTCCTAGCACTGTCATCATTGCTAACCTTAAATGACTGCACATCCCAAGCACAATTTGTGACAGTTTGCATTGGTGTATTGGTAGTACAGAGGCTGCTTAATATATTTAATGTGCTACTTATTATTTTCTGTCCTCTTCCCTCCCAGCTTTCGGAAGCTCCTCCACAACCTCAGTGTTTGGTCAACAGACCAGTGCTGGGAGTGTCTTTGGACAGGTAACATTCACATTTTGCTATGTGTACAAAATAGACAACCATCCTACAATTTGATATGTAACACTTCAGGGGAAGACTCCCAAATGCCCCTCTTCAAATGTGCACACACGCACCACTCAAATACACATTAGATGTATTATTGCATTTGGGTAAGAATCAGGGAGAGAACTCATCAGGGAGGCCCATATGTACTTGTTACTGCATAACCAACACTGATCATTGTGACCTTGTTGTGGCTGTGCACCCCTCCCCCCTCTCCTACCCAGCAGCAGCCATCCAGCGGTGGGGGTCTGTTTGGGTCTGGCTCTGCCCCGGCTGCAGGCTCCCAGCAGGCAGGGGGAGGCTTCTTCAGCGGCCTGGGGGGCAAACCCACTGAGGATGCTGCCAACAAGAACCCCTTCGGCACTGCCACCGCCACCGGGGTCTTCGGACAGCCCAACCAGACAGGTGGGAGGACCTACAGGGGCCGAGAAGTGTTGTAGCAGAAAGGATGACTCATCTTAGATTTAAACTTCCTGTTCAATTTTAAGACTGATGGGTGCAGTTATCATCAGTAGGGGGGACCCTTTCATTGACATCCCTCTTGCACAGAATGATAAAGTGGACTGCAAGCAATACAATGCAAATCACCAAAGTTCTTAAAATGATAGCTAAAAAATGTTTGAATGAATGTTATCAAGATAGATGTTTTCATGTGGGGGGAGGTAGCGAATATCAACATATTTTTTGTTTCTAAACACAGCCCAACGTAAATCGATTTTCCTCAGCATTATGCTGCGAGCCTTAATCTCATAAGCAGAATAGTGATTTAGCCTGTTGCTGCTGCAGGCACTGACAGCGTATGTATCTGTGCTGTCCTATCTGTGACACGACACGAGTCTGCACCACCTTCTATAGCTCCCGGTCATATGGCACTGCTCAACAGACTGGCATAGTTTTCCATATAGGCTTGTATCTGTATGTTTTCTTATTCCTCTAATGCACACAAACTGTATCGAATCATCCATGTTTGTTCTGTAGATTAATGCAAATATGTTCATATTTTCCCAACCTTTGAGACCTTGAGGTGGTACGTGATTCATTTGTGTTAAACAATGTTAATGAAATCATTAGTCTACTTTTCCTCTAAGCTATATTTCACTGTGGTACTGAACATGTAGGTTTGATGAGTAGAAATATCCACCTTGATATGCATTTGAGCCCCCATACTGTCCTCCTATGCTCTCTTTTGTTCCGAATTGGAATGGTGCGGTATTCTGATTATGGCTATCTGAATATGTATGACCCATTTCATAGGGACTATGTGATAGTATAGTATATCCCTTGCATGCCCAAGGCTTTGATTCTTACCCACATTTTCACCCATGTCTTTGCTGTTCTATAGTTTATTTTCTCAGCGCACTGCATGCAGACCATTGGCTTTTAGTCCAATTCCTCAATTCCATTGATTCTTGGACAATCACTTTTGGGAAGAGCACTGCAAATGACTATTTTCCTTGAGTAGCTCTTAACTGACAGTAGGCGTTGTGCCATGCTGCCTAATGCATCAAGTGTCCGTCCCAATGTCTTCCACACACACCTAATACCATTCAGCCACGTATCCATTTCCTTCATCTCCCTGTTTCTATGATGAAAAGTGACCCCCTTTATCTGATAGTCAGGTAACTCGTCCATGTAACCACCCAGCCCCAGGAGAATCCATTTTGATTTGAAAGGCGATTATTTATTATTTGTTTTCTCTCACGTTGTTTGCTTTCAAGTTACTATCTTGCAAATTGTTGGAGTGTGAAGTGCTAAATTGCATCTCAAATGAGATTGCAGTGTTGCGTGTCATTTACACACAAGTACTTGCCATGAGCAGAATTACCATTATGGCGGAAGCATTGTGCAAAAAAAGTATGAAAACTCTCTATGCCGATTGATATATGATGTCTGGGACTTGGAAAAGTTCTGTGAAATGAACATCGCAGGAAACCTTAATGCGAAAACTAGAATTTAATGATCAAAGATGAGGCTTTTAAACATCTCTCCAGTGCTATAAAAAAGAAAGGAAAGATGAAATGATTCTTGAAACATTGTCAGCATTGACATGGGGGCCACATCTGCCAGGGCGGTCGGAACAGAAAGTGACCAGTGACCAGTGGGCGGTGTTAAACAAATCAAAATATATTTTGTATTTGAGATTCTTCAAATAGCCACCCTTTGCCTTGATGACAGCTTTGCACACTCTTGGCATTCTCTCAACCAGCTTCATGAGGTAGTCACCTGGAATGCATTTCAATTAACAGGTGTGCCTTCTTAAAAGTTTATTTGTGGAATTTCTATCCTTCTTAATGCGTTTGAGCCAATCAGTTGTGTTGTGACAAGGTAGGGGTGGTATACAGAAGATGGCCCTATTTGGAAAAAGACCAAGTCCATATTATGGCAAGAACAGCTCAAATAAGAAAAGAGAAACAACAGTCCATTACTTTAAGACATGAAGGTCAGTCAATACAGAACATTTCAAGAACTTTGAAAGTTTCTACAAGTGCAGTCGCAAAAACCATAAAGCACTATGATGAAACTGGCTCTCATGAGGACCGCCACAGGAATGGTTCCATATGTGTTATTTCATAGTTTTGATGTCTTCACTATTATTCTACAAAGTAAAAAATAGTAAAAAATAAAGAAAAAACCTTGAATGAGTAGGTGTGTCCAAACATTTGACTGGTAGTGTATATTTTTTAATACTTTTCTTTCTTGGACATAAGACTGTAAAATCACCAGGAAATGAGCTCAAAGTTATTTTAATTTAGGAAATCTGTTCCCAAGTATTCCCACCCATAAATAGAGGCATACAGTATGTGATCGTATCCCAACGTTTTAAATTATTCTGTTTTTGTCAAATATTTGATCTGTCTGGGATTCTTGCGGTCAATTTGCAGTGTACAAATTATTTATAACTATGTTCTGGCCCCCCGTCCATCCGCTCAAGGAAAAATCAGCCCACGGCTGAGTGTAATTGGGGACCCATGTTATAGAGGATTGTTCAGGTTTGCTTCATCTCTGTTGTCCACGCTTTCATCCTCTTGGAAGTGACCAATAGCCAATTCAATAACTTTTCTTTGTGAAGCTGTCCAGGGTTTCCCATACAGTTGCTTAGGTAGGATGCTTAGCTCAGTGGCGCTCTGTCTAGAAATCTTTTGGGATCCTTTTACGTCTTTAAGACTAACTCTATGGGAAACACTTGGTTGGTTTACTTTTGTGTAGAAACTCTTGTTTTCTTCTCACTCTATTGGAAACACTAGGGCTGTTGACTTAACTATAAATTGGTGCTTGATTTGGGCAGGAGCTCACCGGAACTGAGTACCGGCCCTTCAAATGTTCTGCTGCTTGAGTTCCTGCACCTCTTATAGAATATTACCTCAAAACTATTGCACCTAAATATGAACAGTACCGGCACTCAAAATGAGTACAGGCACTTTTTTCAGTTTAGCACTGCTATAAATTCACTCTTAACTTCTGTCCTACAGGAGGAACTACCCTGTTTGGGAACAGCGGGGCCAAGGCCTTTGGCTTTGGCTCCCCAGCGTCAACATTCGGAGTGGGGGAGCAGACGGCCAGTGGGACCTTCAGCACGGGAGGGGGGAGCGTGGCCGCTCAGGGGTTCGGCTCCTTCTCCACCCCCACCAAACAAACAGGTAGGCTACACCTTCATCCCAAAACAAGTGACAACAGTCGCCCAGCTCTGTCAACTCCAGACTTTTGTGTCCATGGTGATATACACTACCAGTCAAAAGTTTGGACACACCTACTCATTCAAGGGTTTTTCTTTATTTTTACTATTTTCTACATTGTAGAATAATAGTGAAGACATCAAAACTATGAAATAACACATATGGAATCATGTAGTAACCAAAAAGTGTTAAACAAATCAAAATATATTTTATATTTGAGATTCTTCAAATAGCCACCCTTTGCCTTGATGACAGCTTTGCACACTCTTGGCATTCTCTCAACCAGCTTAATGAGGTAGTCACCTGGAATGCATTTCAATTAACAGGTGTGCCTTCTTAAAAGTTAATTTGTGGAATTTCTTTCCTTCTTAATGTGTTTGAGCCAATCAGTTGTGTTCTGACAAGGTAGGGGTGCGGAGGGTGTATACAGAAGATAGCCCTATTTGGTAAAAGACCAAGTCCATATTATGGCAAGAACAGCTCAAATAAGCAAAGATAAATGACAATCCATCATTACTTTAAGACATGAAGGTCAGTCAATACGGAACATTTCAAGAACTTTGAAAGTTTCTTCAAGTGCAGTCGCAAAAACCATCAAGCGCTATGATGAAACTGGCTCTCATGAGGACTGCCACAGGAATGGAAGACCCAGAGTTACCTCTACTGCAGAGGATAAGTTCATTAGAGTTACCAGCCTCCAAAAATTGCAGCCCAAATAAATGCTTCACAGAGTTCAAGTCACAGACACATCTCAACATCAACTGTTCAGAGGGGATTGTGTGAATCTGGCCTTCGTGGTCGAATTGCTGCAAAGAAACCACTACTAAAGGACACCAATAATAAGAAGAGACCCGCTTGGGACAAGAAACACGAGCAATGGACATTAGACCAGTGGAAATTTGTCCTTTGGTCTGGAGTCCAAATTTGAGATTTTTGGTTCCAACTGCCATGTCTTTGTGAGACGCGGTGTGGGTGAACGTATGATCTCCACATATGTAGTTCCCACCGTAAAGCATGGAGGAGGAGGTGTTATGGTGTGAGGGTGCTTTGCTGGTGACGCTGTCTGTGATTTATTTAGAATTCAAGGCACACTTAACCAGCATGGCTACCACAGCATTCTGCAGCGATATGCCATCCCATCTGGTTTGCGCTTAGTTGGACTATAAGTTGTTTTTCAACAGGACAATGACCCAACACACCTCGAGTCTGTGTAAGGGCTATTTTACCAAGAAGGAGAGTGATGGAGTGCTGCATCAGATGACCTGGTCTCCACAATCCCCCGACCTCAACCCAATTGAGATGGTTTGGGATGAGTCGGACGGCAGAGTGAAGGAAAAGCAGCGCTCAGCATATGTGGGAACTCCTTCAAGACTGTTGGAAAAGCATTCCAGGTGAAGCTGGTTGAGAGAATGCCAAGAGTGTGCAAAGCTGTTATCAAGGCAAAGGGTGGCTATTTGAAGAACCTCAAATATAAAATATATTTTGATTTGTTTAACACTTTTTTGGTTACTACATGATTCCATGTGTGTTATTTCATAGTGTTGATGTCTTCACTATTATTCTACAATGTAGAAAATAAAAATGTTTAGAAAAACCCTTGAATGGTGTGTCTAAACTTTTGACTGGTGCTGTATACAGTGAGGGAAAAAAAGTATTTAGTCAGCCACCAATTGTGCAAGTTCTCCCACTTAAAAAGATGAGAGAGGCCTGTAATTTTCATCATAGGTACACGTCAACTATGACAGACAAAATGAGATTTTTTTTCAGAAAATCACATTGTAGGATTTTTTATGAATTTATTTGCAAATTATGATGGAAAATAAGTATTTGGTCAATAACAAAAGTTTCTCAATACTTTGTTATATACCCTTTGTTGGCAATGACACAGGTCAAATGTTTTCTGTAAGTCTTCACAAGGTTTTCACACACTGTTGCTGGTATTTTGGCCCATTCCTCCATGCAGATCTCCTCTAGAGCAGTGATGTTTTGGGGCTGTCGCTGGGCAACATGGACTTTCAACTCCCTCCAAAGATTTTCTATGGGGTTGAGATCTGGAGACTGGCTAGGCCACTCCAGGACCTTGAAATGCTTCTTACGAAGCCACTCCTTCGTTGCCCGGGTGGTGTGTTTGGGATCATTGTCATGCTGAAAGACCCAGCCACGTTTCATCTTCAATGCCCTTGCTGATGGAAGGAGGTTTTCACTCAAAATCTCACGATACATGGCCCCATTCATTCTTTCCTTTACACGGATCAGTCGTCCTGGTCCCTTTGCAGAAAAACAGCCCCAAAGCATGATGTTTCCACCCCCATGCTTCACAGTAGGTATGGTGTTCTTTGGATGCAACTCAGCATTCTTTGTCCTCCAAACACGACGAGTTGAGTTTTTACCAAAAAGTTCTATTTTGGTTTCATCTGACCATATGACATTCTCCCAATCCTCTTCTGGATCATCCAAATGCACTCTAGCAAACTTCAGACGGGCCTGGACATGTACTGGCTTAAGCAGGGGGACACGTCTGGCACTGCAGGATTTGAGTCCCTGGCGGCGTAGTGTGTTACTGATGGTAGGCTTTGTTACTTTGGTCCCAGCTCTCTGCAGGTCATTCACTAGGTCCCCCCGTGTGGTTCTGGGATTTTTGCTCACCGTTCTTGTGATCATTTTGACCCCACGGGGTGAGATCTTGCGTGGAGCCCCAGATCGAGGGAGATTATCAGTGGTCTTGTATGTCTTCCATTTCCTAATAATTGCTCCCACAGTTGATTTCCTCAAACCAAGCTGCTTACCTATTGCAGATTCAGTCATCCCAGCCTGGTGCAGGTCTACAATTTTGTTTCTGGTGTCCTTTGACAGCTCTTTGGTCTTGGCCATAGTGGGGTTTGGAGTGTGACTGTTTGAGGTTGTGGACAGGTGTCTTTTATACTGATAACAAGTTCAAACAGGTGCCATTAATACAGGTAACGAGTGGAGGACAGAGGAGCCTCTTAAAGAAGAAGTTACAGGTCTGTGAGAGCCAGAAATCTTGCTTGTTTGTAGGTGACCAAATACTTATTTTCAACCATAATTTGCAAATAAATTCATTAAAAATCCTACAATGTGATTTTCTGGATTTTTTTTCCTCAATTTGTCTGTCATAGTTGACGTGTACCTATGATGAAAATTACAGGCCTCTCTCATCTTTTTAAGTGGGAGAACTTGCACAATTGGTGGCTGACTAAATACTTTTTTCCCCCCACTGTATGTTCAAAAGTGTTGTCCAACAATGTCACAAATAACCCTTCTGTTGTTAGACTTTAGGTCTCGATAGCCTCTCACAAAATATATACATTTGTGATTTGAAGAGTGTGTCAATTAGAACGTTTTCAAGCAAGCATCTTTTCCTTTCAATTGAGAAATGATTGCCTTGTTGCAAGGTGGTATTACAAGGTAACAGCACACCTGCAGAACTTGCGTACACAATACAAGCTGGTACAGTAGGGTAATTGTACTGTATTTTACAATACCTCCTACCCTCTGTGAACACATTCCCTATCACTATCCCCTCCAGTCTCTTTGACTGTGATAGTAACAGCTGTTTACGTTCTTGGCTTCGTCTCTGATGTTGTCCTGCCCGCCTCGGTCTGCGGCGGGCGGCTCAGTGACAAGTGAGGGTCAGAGAGAGGGGCAGGTGGTTATGGATGAACACTCCACACATGCATCACTTCCTCTCCGGCCCTGTGGCGGCAGCAGCTCCACTCCCTGCAACCTCAGCTGCCCCCAGTGCTTGCTCTGCTGAATTACAGCTAGAGTCACCTTATCTCTCTCTCTGCCAGTACAGTGCTAGTGGAGCATGGTTAGGCTACATTCCACAATGCAGCATCTTTCCAAGCTAATGAACAGTCTTGGCGTCTACTTGGCTAAAGTAGTCATAGTATCCATCAATTTAGTCAACGCAGTTATAATATTTCCTCAATCTAGCAAAAAATCTAGCATATTTTAGCAATTAGAATCATAGCGTTCCCCAAAAGTTAGCACCTCCGCAGTTCTGTCTTGGCATTTTACTCAGCTAACTATCAAGCACTGCCAAAGGACATCACCTCTCCTAGTTATAGCATAGGTAGCATCTACCCCTAAACTCTTGGGCCCATATTCACAAAGCATCTCAGAATAGGAGTGCTGTTCTAGGATCAAGTCATCCCTCTTATTCAGCACTCGTACTCTGAGACGCTTTGTGAGTACGGGACCTGGGGGTTTTCGGTACTGCTGTCGGTTCTATAGCTCCTATCATTGGCCAGGGTCCAAGGAATGTAATCCTTTTACATTAGCCCAATCAATTATTCACTGGGCCGTGCTCGTAGCCAGGCTGTAATTTCAGTGCTCCCCTCTCTTTATAACTCCCTTTTCAGCCCCAGAGAGTGTGTGGTTGGCAATTGATTCCTATGTGTGTGAGAGCTGTGTGTGAGAGCAGTTGTCCCATAACAGAAATGGAGGCGTTGCAGAGCAGACGATAATACAACTTTATTAATCATGTTGGGGCAAGTAGTTTCAGGGCAACAGCAGGTGTGACATACACATCCATCACAATTGAGGAAGAAGATAAACGTTGCCTCTGTTTACAACTATTTTTGAAGTATTTACTATTATGTATGGTTAGTATTAGACTGTGGTAAGTGTCCCCTGAGACATTCTGCCCTGCCTGCCCATCTCAACGAATTCAAGAATATTGCTCAAATATATGTCAGCTTTATTCATGTAACCGTCCTTCTCATGCATTTTTATCAAAACAAAGTTAACGATCTTACCCTTCCTCACACCCCTCTCTCTGTACCCCTTCAGGTGGTTTTGGGAGCGCCCCTGTGTTCGGTAGCCCCCCTGCTTTCGGGGGCTCCCCAGCATTTGGGGGGTCAGCAGCGTTTGGCTCGGCCCCATCCTTCAGCAGTCCCATGGGCTCCTCAGCCAGCAAGGTGTTTGGAGAGGGCACGGCAGCCGCCAACGTGGGAGGATTCGGGTAAGAGAGACACCCCTCTTTAGACATTTATTGGATATGAAGAGTGAGATGTTTTGTATTCTTCTAAAATGACAGCGTAGAAGAGCTGAATATTCACGATAATACCGACCATAAAGGCTGCAGAATGTCTTGCAACGTTTTTATGCATTTATTGCTTTGTATGGGATATTGTATTGGTTCTGTTATGTATATTAAAAAGCAATATAGGGACGAGGGGCTTTAGCCACCTGAGGGGTTAGTCATGCACCACCGGACATTCCAGCTGAGAGCACACTGACACCTCCTAGCCACTGTTTTCATATTCACACATGGATTTTGTCACCAACACTACCTGATAAGTAAGTAATACCATGCTAACCCCCAACCTCCTTTCTCAATTTGGGCATAATACCCTAAGCCCCGCTTGGCTCTACACTGGCACACATTAATGACCTTGACATTTAATTTAGAAAAGTCCACAATAGTTGTGTATTGAAGATTACTTACTGCATTTACGGCAAGTATTTCTGGAATTATTTTATCACAAGACATCGGGGGATGGAAATCAGTCAGCTATAACCACCTAGACCCCCTGCAGAGTCAACCTCTATTCTGAATTTAACCTCAAACCTCATTGTAAAATGAGAAAATTGGATTATTCCTCCATCCCCTCCTGCTCGGCTCCCTCTCCCCCTGGAGCAGCCCCCCTGCCACATGCAGGCCTGCTGAGGCGCTGGGCACCTCTGCCAAGCCCCAAATCACGGAGCCATGCAGTGCTAGATTATTCCACCCAGATAATCCCACTCTGAGGTCATACTGCCAGCAGATTAAGATGGGCTAGTTCCCCCCTTCTCTCTATCCTCCCTCTCTCTCTCCCCCCTGTGGGTCTTGTATTAGGCACAGGTCTTCTAGAGGGGATTACCAACTAAACCCCAACCCCTCAATCCTCTACCACGCCCTCCACACACTCGCACGCTTTACACCCTCTGTCTCCAGTCCTGTTGGCTGCAGGGAGACAGGAGCCAGCCTTGCCTGTGTGAACTCATCTCTCTGTTTTTCTTAATTTTCTCCCATTCTCTCACTCCTTTCTCTATTTAAGTTTTCAGGGTTTCATCCTATGGGGTTGTCAAATGGTAGCAGGCCCAGTGGCTTGGTGTTTTTTAACTCATTCCCTTTCTCAATTCAGTCACACTTATTTCATTTTTTCAGTCTTTTTAAAAATGTGTTATTATGTCAGGACTCGTGAGGTAATATTTTTAGCACTCTTTATCTCACTTGTCATCACCCCATTGTCTTGTTTACAAAGAGAAATATCGATAAAGTTGTTTACGAATGCCTGTGCTAGTTTTGTTGTTTTCCAAACCCCTGCAAATATTTATTGAAAGATGGTTCAATGATAAAGTGCCTCATGACTCCCTACAACCAGTAAATGTCACCCTCCCTATCTTTTAAAGTGGCTCCTCAATTTAGCAGTGGGGTCGTACAGAGAGATGAGGCGATTGACCCAAGGGCGGTAGAGGTGGGCGGGCTGGCCAGCAAGAGATTGCTCCTGTATTGGTGTCAGAGTTCAGCCATTATTTATGTCCAGGTGTCTACCCCTGCTGCCTCCACGATTAAAACCAGCAGAGCAACTGAGCTGGCTGGACGGCCCGGACTATTCTCTACCCCTCTCTCGCTGTCCCTCTATATTCTCACTCTCTTCTTTCATGTCTGTCTATTCTGCTGTCTTTTTCTCTTCCCCTCTTTTCTGTCTCCTCTCCGACCACTGCAACACACTTATACACATGCACATATACTATACTATCTGTCCTTCACCCGTCCTCCATCCTCATCCCCTCATCTCTCTGCTGATGTTTGATGACTCTAGTCAAATAATCCTGGAGGTTCGGCTGTGTGACTGGCACTGGTCTTGTCTGTCTGTCTCACTCAGGGCACCTGAAGCCTCCATGTCAGAACTAACTTCCCCTCACACTGTTCTACTACACATTTAAACTCAATAAAACATCAAACACACTCAGCTCCCTGACTGTGTCGCAGCCTCCACACACAGATCCCAGATCAGTAGGGGAAGAGCCGTGGGAGCATTAGCGATTTATTCCATTGTAATTCAAATCAAAGCTTATTGCAAAATGCTTTGATGTAATGGGCTCTGATATTTTTCCAGGCATGGCTGTTCCTCTGCATATTTTAGGAGCCTCTCCTCTCTGGGTTAGAATGGTAATGGGAACAGAGTAGAGGGACTGGGGCGGTGTGCTACGCTAGCTGTACTAGACGGTCTACAGACTAGAGAGAGAGAGAGAGGGAGGTAAGGAGCACAGAGCATAGTAATTCTACCTCTGACTGTATGGTGTCAGGGGGGTCGGGACTGACGTAGAAATAGAGTATTGTACAGTGGATGTAAACTGACCAGTGCCTCAATAACGTAATAAATCAACTGTACCAATGGTTATTCAACACATCCTCCTGAAATGATGATTAGGCTATTGTTAGACTGTAATATTGAATATTCAGTCTTTTAATGTTTTTAATCTTTTATGTGTGTTTCGCTCCCCTCACAGCTTTGCTTCCACTCAACAAAGCACGCTGTCGTTTGGTGCTCTGGCCAACCAGAGTGCCCCATCGTTTGGTAACCTGGCCCAGCAGCAGCAGGGGTCAGGGTTCGGAGTTCCTCAGCCCAGCGGCTTCTCTGGGTTCGGACAGCAGGGAGGAGGAGGTGAGTAGTAATATCTCACCCGTTCAGTTCTTTCAGATCATTGCGAGGACGCTGCTCTAGGCTATCGAGATGCACCCAAAGCCTTAATTGACATGTTCCCTCCCTATTCTTGTGACTAAACTGTACCAACAGTATGAAAGGAGTCAACCCCCAGCTTAGTCATTTCTGCCCCTGCAGTCTCCTCCCCACTCCCCCAGCCACACTAATGAGGAACAAATAAACAAGGGCACAAGTCCTCGTTTGAAGCCCTGCCAGTGAGTCCCTTCCCCTATTCCCCTGAAGTAAAGCCACTGGTTAACTAAGCCCATTAGTGACTGTTTAAATAGCAGTCATTTAGCCTAGTGGCTAATGCCATCCCCAGCACTCTGTCTGCTGTGCAGTACAACAGGGCCACAAGATGCAGCGCTAGGATAATTCTAGGCTAGGCTAGCCGTGGGACTGTTGGAATCCCACAAGTGGCTTCCTATTAACCCACATTCCTGCTGCGGTCACGCGCCGCCATGCAAGCTATGTTTTTGTTTGCACATGGTCCAGTTTTCCCAAGATGGGAAGAGGATGGTGGGAAGAACTCTTTCACTGTCTTACACTGAACAAAAATATAAACGCATCATGTAAAGTGTTGGTCCCATATTTCATGAGCTGAAATAAAAGATCCCAGAAATGTTCCATACGCACAAAAAGCTTATTTCTCTCATTTTGTGCACACATTTTTTTTACATCCCTGTTAGTGAGCATTTCTTCTTTGCCAAGATAATCCATCCACCTGACAGGTGTGGCATATCAAGAAGATGATTAAACAGCATGACCATTACACAGGTGCACCTTGTGCTGGGGACAATAAAAGGCTCTAAAATGTGCAGTTTTGTCACACAACACAATGCCACATATGTCTCAAGTTTTGAGAGAGCATGCAATTGGCATGCTGACTGCAGGAATGTCCACCAGAGCTGTTGCCAGAGAATTGAATGTTCATTTCTCTACCATAAGCCGCCTTCAACGTCGATGTAGAGAATTTGGCAGTACGTCCAACCGGCCTCACAACCGCAGACCACGTGGATGGAGTCGTGTGGGCGAGCAGTTTGCTGATGTCAATGTTGTGAACAGAGTGCCTCATGGTGGCGGTGGGGTTATGGTATGGGCAGGCATAAACTATGGACAACGAACACAATTGCATTTTATCGATGGCAATTTAAATGCACAGAGATACCGTGACAAGCTCCTAAGGCCTGTTTTGAGGCCCATTTTTTTGTAAGCTATCTGTGACCAAAAAATGCTATCTGTATTCCCAATCATGTGAAATCTATAGATTAGGGCCTATGTCAAATCCTGTTAGGTCTAGAGGAACTAGATCAGCAATCACATTATTATGGTTTGTGTTTGGCTGACTCTGGAACAGAGGTAATAAGGTGTAAATAGTAGTAACTCACCTGGGGGGTTTTCTTCCCGTTATTAAGTCTATATTTTACCGTGTCGTTTTAAATTGTCTCTACTAATAATTCTAGTAGAGAATTATACAGTGGGGGAAAAAAAGTATTTAGTCAGCCACCAATTGTGCAAGTTCTCCCACTTAAAAAGATGAGAGAGGCCTGTAATTTTCATCTTAGGTACACGTCAACTATGACAGACAAAATGAGATTTTTTTTCTCCAGAAAATCACATTGTAGGATTTTTAATGAATTTATTTGCAAATTATAATGGAAAATAAGTATTTGGTCAATAACAAAAGTTTCTCAATACTTTGTTATATACCCTTTGTTGGCAATGACACAGGTCAAACGTTTTCTGTAAGGTTTTCACACACTGTTGCTGGTATTTTGGCCCATTCCTCCATGCAGATCTCCTCTAGAGCAGTGACGTTTTGGGGCTGTCGCTGGGCAACACGGACTTTCAACTCCCTCCAAAGATTTTCTATGGGGTTGAGATCTGGAGACTGGCTAGGCCACTCCAGGACCTTGAAATGCTTCTTACGAAGCCACTCCTTCGTTGCCCGGGCGGTGTGTTTGGGATCATTGTCATGCTGAAAGACCCAGCCACGTTTCATCTTCAATGCCCTTGCTGATGGAAGGAGGTTTTCACTCAAAATCTCACGATACATGGCCCCATTCATTATTTCCTTTACACAGATCAGTCGTCCTGGTCCCTTTGCAGAAAAACAGCCCCAAAACATGATGTTTCCAACCCCATGCTTCACAGTAGGTATGGTGTTCTTTGGATGCAACTCAGCATTCTTTGTCCTCCAAACACGACGAGTGTGACCATATGACATTCTCCCGATCCTCTTCTGGATCATCCAAATGCACTCTAGCAAACTTCAGACGGGCCTGGACATGTACTGGTTTAAGCAGGGGGACACGTCTGGCACTGCAGGATTTGAGTCCCTGGCGGCGTAGTGTGTTACTGATGGTAGGCTTTGTTACTTTGGTCCCAGCTCTCTGCAGGTCATTCACTAGGTCCCCCCGTGTGGTTCTGGGATTTTTGCTCACCGTTCTTGTGATCATTTTGACCCCACGGGGTGAGATTTTGCGTGGAGCCCCAGATCGAGGGAGATTATCAGTGGTCTTGTATGTCTTCCATTTCCTAATAATTGCTCCCACAGTTGATTTCTTCAAACCAAGCTGCTTACCTATTGCAGATTCAGTCTTCCCAGCCTGGTGCAGGTCTACAATTTTGTTTCTGGTGTCCTTTGACAGCTCTTTGGTCTTGGCCATAGTGGAGTTTGGAGTGTGACTGTTTGAGGTTGTGGACAGGTGTCTTTTATACTGATAACTAGTTCAAACAGGTGCCATTAATACAGGTAACGAGTGGAGGACAGAGGAGCCTCTTAAAGAAGAAGTTACAGGTCTGTGAGAGCCAGAAATCTTGCTTGTTTGTAGGTGACCAAATACTTATTTTCCACCATAATTTGCAAATAAATTCATTAAAAATCCTATAATGTGATTTTCTGTATTTTTTTTCTCAATTTCTCTGTCATAGTTGACGTGTACATATGATGAAAATTACAGGCCTCTCTCATCTTTTTAAGTGGGAGAACTTGCACAATTGGTGGCTGACTAAAAACTTTTTTTCCCCACTGTATATACACACAGTGCTATGAAGAAGTATTTGCCCCCTTTCTAATTTTCTCAACTTTTGCATATTTGTGATACTGAATGTTATCAGATCTTCAACCAAAACCTAATATTAGATAAAGGGAACATAAGTGAACAAATAACACAACAATTACATATTTATTTCATTTATTTTATAAACAAAGTTATGCAACACCCAATTCCCCTGTGTGAAAAAGTAATTGCCCCCTTACACTCAATAACTGGTTGTGCCACCTTTAGCTGCAATGACTTCAACCAAATGCTTCCTGTAGTTGTTGATCAGTCTCTCACGTCGCTGTGGAGGAATTTTGGCCCACTCTTCCATGCAGAACTGCTTTAACTCAGTGACGTGTGGGTTTTCAAGCATGAACTACTCTTTTTCAAGTCCTGCCACAACATCTCAATTGGGATTAGGTCTCGACTTTGACTAGGCCATTCCAAAACTTCCAATTTGTTGCTTTTTAGCAATTTTCATGTAGACTTGATTGTGTGTTTTGGATCATTGTCTTGCTGCATGACCCAGCTGCGCTTCAGCTTCAGCTCATAGACGGATGTTCTGACATTCTCCTGTAGAATCCTCTGATACAGAACAGAATTCATGGTTCCTTCTATTAAGGCAAGTCGTCCAGGTCCTGAGGCAGCAAAGCATCCCCAAACCATCACATCACCACCACCATGCTTGACCTTTGGTATGATGTTCTTACTGTGGAATGCAGTGTTTGGTTTTCGCCAGGCATAATGGGACCCATCCCATTGAAAACCCACACGTCACTGAGTTAAAGCAGTTAAAGGGGGCAAATACATTTTCATAGCACTGTGTATGTATGTATGTATGTATGTGTGTGTATATATATATATATAAATAAAACATGGGGGATTGGAAGTGATGCAGACAATTACATTGATGGAAGTTACAATCTATCTGCAATATTAAGCTGATCTACCCCCCAAAAATAATAATTTTGAAAGCCAACTTAACAAACAGATCACCGACCATTTCGAATCCCACCGTACCTTCTCCGCTTTGCAATCGGGTTTCCGAGCTGGTCATGGGTGCAACTCAGCCACGCTCAAGGTCCTAAACGATATTATAACCGCGATCGATAATAGACAGTACTGTGCAGCCGTCTTCATCAACCTGGCCAAAGCTTTCGACTCTGTCAACCACCGCATTCTTATTGGCAGACTAAATAGCCTTTGTTTCTCAAATGACTGCCTCGCCTGGTTCACCAACTACTTCTCAGATAGAGTTCAATGTGTCAAATCGGAGGGCCTGTTGTCTGGACCTATGGCAGTCTCTATAGGGGTGCCACAGGGTTCAATTCTTGGGCCGACTCTTTTCTCCGTGTATATCAATGATGTCGCTCTTGCTGCTGGTGACTCTCAGATCCACCTCTACGAAGACGACACCGTTTTGTATACATCTGGCCCTTCATTGGACACTGTGTTAACAAACCTCCAAACGAGCTTCAATGCCATACACCACTCCTTCAGTAGCCTCCAACTGCTCTTAAACACTAGTAAAACTAAATGCATGCTCTTCAATCGAACGCTGCTGGCACCCGCCCACCCGACTAGAATCACTACTCTCGACGGGTCTGACCTAGAGTATGTGGACAACTACAAATACCTAGGTGTCTGGTTAGACTGTAAACTCTCCTTCCAGACTCACATTAAGAATCTCCAATCCAAAGTTAAATCTAGAATCGGCTTCCTATTTCGCAACAAAGCCTCCTTCACTCATGCTGCCAAACATGCCCTCGTAAAACTGACTATCCTACCGATCCTTGACTTCGGCGATGTCATTTACAAAATGGCCTCCAACACTCTACACAGCAAATTGGATGTAGTCTATCACAGTGCCATCTGTTTTGTCACCAAAGCCCCATATACTACCCACCACTGTGACCTGTACACTCTTGTTGGCTGGTCCTCACTACATATTCGTCGCCAAACCCACTGGCTCCAGGCCATCTATAAATCACTGCTAGGCAAATCCCCGCCTTATCTTAGCTCATTGGTCACCATAGCAACACCCACCCGTAGTATGCGCTCCAGCAGGTATATCTCACTGGTCATCCCCAAAGCCAACACCTCCTTTGGCCGCCATTCCTTCCAGTTCTCTGCTGCCAATGACTGGAACGAATTGCAAAAATCTCTGAAGCTGGAGATTCTTATCTCCCTAACTAACTTTAAGCATCAGTTGTCAGAGCACCTTACCGATCACTGCACCTGTACACAGCCCATCTGAAATTAGCCCACCCAACTACCTCATCCCCATATTGTTATTTATTTTGCTAATTTGCACCCCAGTATCTCTATTTGCACATCTTCTCTTGCACATCTATCATTCCAGTGTTAATACTAATTGTAATTATTTTGCACTATAGCCTATTTATTGCCTTACCTCCATAACTTGCTACATTTGCACACACTGTATATATATTTTCTGTTGTATTTTTGACTTTATGTTTTGTTTTACCCCATATGTAACTCTGTGTTGTTGTTTTTATCGCACTGCTTTGCTTTATCTTGGCCAGGTCGCAGTTGAAAATGAGAACTTGTTCTCAACTGGCTTACCTGATTAAATAAAGGTGAAATAAAAATAAATAAATACAAAATAAGAAAAAATAAGAATAAGAATAAGAAAAAATATATTTAAAATAATTATATCTACATCAGGGGTGTCAAACATCTGGGGGGGGGGGACGAACTCAATATCATTTAAAATGACTAAAGCAAAATAGAAACTGTAGAAATGATAATGGACCTACATTCATACAGTTTCTTGACTGTGTCCAGCTCGCTAATAATCACCGAAATGAAAGCTAGACAGTCAGAGAGCACTGAAAATTCCCAATATGATGGATAGAGGACTGTTTTTTGCACATTTTGACGACAAGGAAATATAAAAAAAAATATGTGTGTGTCCCTCTGGACCTTGATGAAGACTGAATGCGGCCCCCGGGGCAAAATGAGTTTGATCTAGATTAAGTGTGTTTTTGTTTTTTTGCAGGCTTTGGGTCCGCTGGCGGCTTTGGGTCCAATCAGTAAGTATCACTCATCTTTGTGCTCTTCTGTGTGTGGGTGGGTGTTTTGGTGTCTGTGTTCACATTTGTTGTGTTCATTAGTGTCTTTGTGCTTGTGTGTACATTTGTCTGTTGAGTGATTGAACCCTCCCTATACACACTCGCTTGTGTGTCTCTGGCAGTAGTGTGTGGAGGAAAAGTGTGACCACAGCCCACTTCTGAGAATCTGAAGGGCAGCACGAATTCACAACAAGCTGCCCTAATATATCATCCCTCCTTCCCCCCTTCCCCCCTCCGGTACCTTATTCAACCCTCACCCTTCTCCTCTCTAACACCACTGATCTCCTCACCCTCGAGGGCTCACCCCAGACACTCGCCTACTCTAGCCGCTTCCCCGTCTTTGCTCTCCTTTTTCCCCTACCTCATCTACCACTCTCTACCCTCTTCCTCTACCTCCTCCCTCTCCTTCCTTTATTTATCTCCACCCTGCTTCCTCCTTTTCCTCCTCCCTCTCTCCCGTGCCTCCTCTCCTTGTGCTGCTGTGTCACATGGCCCCTGTGTATCCCCCAGGGTGCATTGCAGTGGAATGCGATCTGAAGTGCTCAGGAGAGTGTGGCGACGTGGCCCGAGCTCTGAGAGTCATTCACATGCTGTTAGATAAGCTCCTCTCTCTCCCTCCGTTCCGCTTCACCCTCTCCCCTCCTCTTCTCCCTGTTCTCGTCTTCTATTTCTCGCTTTCTCTTCCTCATCCCTCCTTTAACCCCCTCATTTCCGACCTTGCTCTCTCCCTCATCCCCCCTTCTTACTAAATTTCCTTCTCACTCACTCTCCTCTCTTCTTCCTCATCCTCTTCCCCTCATCATACCCATTTATAATGGTTGATGAAAGCAAAATGCTGCCAAATGCTCTGAGATGGGTCCTCTGTGTATGTTTTAGTTTAATTTGATGCAACAAGAATGTTTGCTTAAAGAAACATGGTTTATATTAATACTCTTTGACACAAGCAAGCGTTAGCCCTTTTTTAAAAAATGTATATATATATGTCTTTCTATATAATGTTATTCTGAATACATTTTCATGAGGCAAAGCGTTTTCATGTATGCAGAACTTGCAGTACATAACTGCAGGTCCTCCTCCAACCCATAGAAACTGATGCCACTCTTCATGTAGCTGCCTCCTAGTATTACTCTATGGACATATCTCAAGTCCCTCTCATCACTCCCACATTCTTCCTCTCCTCCTTCTAGTCCCATCCCTTCTTTCTTCTCTCCACCTCCCTCAGTCCCCCCCCCCCCCCCCCCCCCCTCTCTCTCTCAACCCTCTCTCTCCTTCTCTGTTCCACTCATCCATTTACGCCTCCATCTTCCCTTTCTAGTGTGCTATGTGTTGATATGTGTATCTTGTTCCGTCCAGGACTCCCTCCTCATATATGTTATATGTCCCTGAATATACAGTACATACTTCCCTCACAGTACTGTGAGACAGCATTAGTATTCCTCATAATCATCAGTCAGGGCAAGGCAGGGGCTAGGGGGAAAAGGCCAAACCATCACACAACAAGGTAGCTAACTTCCCAAGCAGACTCCCCTTATTTTTATTTTTTTGGGGGGGTTTGTGTCTTCATTGGTTGTTTTTTTTCAGATCATCTTCTCAAACGTTTGGAGCCGGTCCGGGTTGGAGAAGCTAGTTTTTGTTGACCCCTCCCTGGGCGAGTGCACCCCTGGTGTGTGTGACCAGCAACACTGCTCTCTGCAATCAAGCTCTTTGAGTAGACGGCACCTGAAGGGAGAAGGGTGGCGAAAGGGTGCCTGGGTTGGGGTGGAAGGAAGGGGGGTTGAGGTGAGACAGTCCAAAACAAGTTGTAAAGTATGTAGACTGACCTTACAGACCATCGTAATATGCTTACTTCAAGTACATCAGTGTCGACTACCATGTGGAATGTGTATTTGGATTAATGAATTTACATTTTGTGTGGGGATTTTAAAAAATCAGAACAGTAATTATTTATCACATAAATTGATCATCCACTGTGCAAAAACTTCAAGGGCACCTAATGTAGGTTTTTGTCATAATCCCATTAATACATTTACCGGTATTATGAATTTACTTGGAATATTTAGTTAGTTAATAATCCACTCGCTTTACCTCATTGAAACATGTGCAACACCTGTATTCATATGAAATAGAATACTGTGCATTTGTCTCCATTGTCATCCACTTTTGGCTGTAACGCTATAATAGATTTATGTTAATCCGTATTGACTTTGTTTTGCTCTATAAAATAATTCCGCAGTTCATCATTTAGCCTTGTTCTTCGCACATATTTTGAATCTGGGAAAGTTCTATGCTTTCAATTGAGGTTTTAGGATATCTAATGTTCCAAGCTTTAGTAGTTCTGATAAGAATCAAGTTCTTAATGTTTCTCAACTTGTCTTGTCTCAGTAAATGGAGTAGAAAATACCATCCTCCGGTACCATAATTCATCATTTACTGACGCAAGGCAAGACTTGGTCAGGTCGTTGATAGAAGTATCCACTCTTGATTGCGTAGAATGAACTGCAATATGATAAAAAAAATGTATTCTGCTTTTTATCATGCCTACTGCTGGAACCCCCTATTCCTATAAATGTGTATATTTTATACATGGAAAATGGGAAATAAACTTGGCAATTCTCAAATCTGTATCTAATGTAGTCTCTCTTTTTTTTGGCAACGCACTGAAGATGAGCACTAATTGATCGCCTTTTGTTGTTTTAATGATGACAGCCTCTGGCTATTTTCCTATAGCCTTTGTGTGTGTCTGTCTGTCTGCTTATTAAACAGAAGATGTCATATGATTAGCTTACTGTTTGAAAGGCCCAACAATTAGATGTCTTTGGACTAAATACTTCAATGACTATTGTACCCATGAGGAAAATCTGTTGCAAATTTGTTGCAGTATCATGTATGTTGATGTATTTAATTGATGTATTTCATTCATCAACCTTGGATTAAGAGTATTTGAATCAGAGAAAAGAGGTGCTGAAGAGGTTTGTCTCTGGCGTTAATGGTTCATGTAATAATTTAACGCAGCATACAGTGCATTCGGAAAGTATTCAGACCCCTTGACTTTTTCCACATTTTGTTACGTTTCAGCCTCATTCTGAAATGGATGAAATAGTTTTTTTCCCTAATCAATCTACACACAATACCCCATAATAACAAAGCAAAAACAGGTTTTTAGAAAATGTTGCATATTTATTTAAAAATCAACAACTGAAATATCACATTTCCATAAGTATTCAGACCCTTTACTCAGTACTTTGTTGAAGCACCTTTGGCAGCGATTACAGCCTCAAGTCTTCTTGGGTATGACACTACAAGCTTGGCACACTTGTATTTGGGGAGTTTCTCCTATTCTCTGCAGATTCTCTCAAGCTCTGTCAGGTTGGATGAAGCTCGTCACTGCACAGCTATTTTCACGTCTCTCCAGAGATGTTCGATTGGGTTCAAGTCTTTGGCTGGGCCACTCAAGGACATTCAGAGACTTGTCCCGAAGCCACTCCTGCGTTGTCTTGGCTGTGTGCTTAAGGTCGTTGTCCTGTTGGATGGTGAACCTTTGCCCCCAGTCAGGTCCTGAGCACTCTGGAGCAGGTTTTTATCAAGTATCTCTCTGTACTTTGCTCTGTTCATCTTTCCCTCGATCCTGACTAGTCTCCCAGTCTCTGCCGCTGAAAAACATCCCCACAGCATGACGCTGCCACCACCAGGCTTCACCGTAGGGATGGTGCCAGGTTTCCTCCAGACGTGACGCTTGGCATTCATGCAAAAGAGTTCAATCTTGGTTTCAGCAGACCAGAGAATCTTGTTTCTCATGGTCTGAGAGTCCTTCGGTGCCTTTTGGCAAACTCCAAGCGGGCTGTCATGTGCCTTTTACTGAGGAGTGGCCTCTGTCTGGCCACTAAGATAAAGGCCTCACTTGTGGAGTTCTGCAGAGATGGTTGTCCTTCTGGAAGGTTCTCCCATCTCCACAGAGGAACTCTGGAGCTCTGTCAGTGACCATTGGGTTCTTGGTCACCTCCCTGACCAAGGCCCTTCTCCCCCGATGGCTCAGTTTGGCCGGCCGGCCAGCTCTAGGAAGAGTCTTGGTGGTTCCAAACTTCTTCCATTTAAGAATGGAGGCCACTGTGTTCTTGGGGACCTTCAATGCTGCAGACATTTTTTGGTACCCTTCCCCAGACCTGTGCCTCGACACAATCTTGTCTCGGAGCTCTAAGGACATTTCCTTCGACCTCATGGCTTGGTTTTTTGCTCTGACATGCACTCTCAACTGTGGGACTTTATATAGACAAGTGTGTGCCTTTCCAGATCATGTCCAATCAAGTTGTAGAAACATCTAAAGGATGATCAATGGAAACAGGATGCACCTGAGCTCAATTTCGAGTCGCATAGCAAAGGGTCTAAATTCTTATGTAAATAAGATATTTCTGTTCTTATTTTGTTATATACATTTGCAAAAATTTCTAAATACCTGTTTTCGCTTTGTCATTATGGGGTATTGTGTGTAGATTGATGAGAAGAAAAAAATATATATCCATTTTAGAATAATAAGGCTGTAACTTACAAAATGTGGAGTCTGAATACTTTCTGAATGCGCTGTAAGGGAACTCCAAGCTATGTTTAGAAAGTGATGGGGGGGAATTAGCTAGCTGCTAATTAGCGTAGCGTTCTTGATTTGGAGGAATTCACTGGCCCTTATTAAGTATTAGACATTTGGATGTAAGCCTAAGACATTGCAGGAATGAGAGTATAGTGAATAGAGGGGTGCTAGTGTTTTGTAGTGGCATCTGGTCTTTGAGGCGTGTGGCTGTCACCAGAATGCTATCCATGGTCACCGCCATTGAGAATGTCACCGTCCCCTTATCTCTGGCGGGCCTGGCAATGTGGGGAATGTTGCAAGCCCGGACACTGAAGTGATTGGGGAATGTTGGGGTCACAACGTGACCTATAGTCCTAGCTTCCCTCTGTAACAGTGGAATTTATCCTTCCCTGTTCGCTAAGATTGGTCACACACACTGTGGTCAGTGGTATCAGAGGTAGGAAAGACTAGAGAGAGGGAGTTACATTTGTATTGGACTTCTGGACGTTTTCTACCGCTTATCTTTCATACTAATGTATGCTTTGCTGTTATAGCCCAAGGAGACTCGATGTGTTTGTGTGAAATGTAAATCATAGGTATACGTATTTGGAATATCTGATCCGTTTCATAGTCTCACTTGGCAATTAATTATACATTTTGCTACACGGCCTATCACGGAGCCCAAACTCTGCACTGTTGTGATTGTTGCTAAAGAGGTTAAGCTGGAGAGGTTTTCAGCACAGTGCCCTTCCTCCATCCCGCAATTGACTTATTTGAACAGATCAAGGACAGTCTACTTTGTTTTGTGGATTTGCTGCTGCTGCGCAACACTGATACATACTCCCAGTGTCTTGTGGTGCTCAACAATGATAACTCCCAGAGTGCAACACTGCCTTCTCTCTCCTCTTTTTCTCTCCTGCTTTCCATCATTGCATCGCTCTGACAGAGAGAGGGAGAGCAGGCCAGTCACACAAGCACCCATGGGGACGGCAGCTGTTTTTGAGGAATTCGTATAAAAATAACCACTCTGTCGGTTTCTCTCACTCTTTTTACGGAGGGATGATTGGCATTGTTCACACTCTCGCTGCGTTATCGGTCCAGCCTTTTCTGCTCGCTGGCTTGTCTACAAGCCGTCAATGTGTAATGCAATAAGCCCACCGAGTGTTAGATGCTGAGGTGATTTCCGGGGGGGTCGACCTATGTTGATGTACACAGAGACTTATGTAGCTAGCATTTAGAGCTATGGCGCCTGTCCTGTTTTCTCGTCAGATGTATGCCACTTTTAGGTTATGGGAAGGTTATTGGCTTTAAGTTGAAGGTTTGGTTGCCTGTTGTCACTGGCTAATAGAGCTTACTTGCTTTACAACTGGTTCATCCTGAGAGAATTGGATTTGATTGTCTTCAAAGCCCCAGTGACTCGTTTAGTGACAAAGGCATGGGTGCCAGTGAGGGTAGCGTTTGATAACCTTGGTAAAAAATATCCCTGTCTCCCCACCGCACAGATTGGACAGGGAGTGAGGTAAACAGACGTTTTAGAGTCTGATTTGGAGAGTGTAGTCAGTCATCACTATAGTCTAGCTTTGTGGCTGGCAGCTTATTTTATTATGTAACAGGACGCAAGCAAACGAGAGCACACAAGAGACTCCAAATTCACGATCAGGTGAGAGGTTTGCAAATTCGCACTTCAAACTACTGTGGTTGCTTTCCTATTGCCTGATATACAGTGCCATTAGAGGTGTAGTTAGATGAGGTGTGTATGTGCCTTACAGTAGAGTAATTTTGACCTTGCAGGCTGTGTGACCTGGTTGACGTCCAATCTCCCAGCTGCCAAGTGCTATCCCAAGAACACCATGTCATGCCAAGTGCATGTAGCCAATGTTCCTGGTCAATGTTCCCTTCACGTGGTCAGAGGTTTTGAAATACTGCTCTGTGTGTGTATATATTTTAGTGTGTGTGATAGTTGACCCTACTCCCAGTCTGTATGGCCTTGTCTGATTGGACGGTAAGGGTGAGTGCAGGAATCAGTCTGTGTGCCCTCTAGGGCTTTTACAGTAATTACATGCAGACATTTCATATTTGATCGGCGTCTGTGCGAGAGTGCGCCAGTGAAATCAGCCATGCTGCCGTGACTTTAACATCACATCAGCCAGCCAGTTATCTGATGGAGCCACAATCCACTAACTGAGGAGAGAGGAAAAAACCTTCCATATCTTAAGCT